CAGACCTTTTCTTTGAAGCCCATGCAGGGCTAATCCAAACAGGAGGTGTAATAGAAGGCTCCACTGTATTATAAGACTGGAGTTTGTTTACTGACTTCAGCATCCATAGAGTGTCAAGCATGTGAATTCTCTTGTCTAAACTATTTTGAACGAGGTCTCTTTTACATGCTAGCTTGGCAAGCTTCTAAGGCATTTGTGCAAAGTGATGGTGCAAGAGCAACCTGATTCAACACTGAGAAATTCATAAATAACATCCAGCAATAATTAAAAGTGAAAAACTACAGCTAAGAAAAGCAATCACCCTACAGTATCAGTTGAGCTACTATACTCTGCAGTGTTAAAAGTGGAATATGTTTACTGATGCCTTCAACTCAGGAGGTATCAGTGAGAATTTTACATTTACTAAGGATTCATTCTGGTTTTTTACATAGATTGAACTGGATTAACAGTGATTAAAAAGAAAGGATAAGAGGGGAAGAAAACCATAGTTTCCAGAAGTTACCATCTGGAAACATACTATACATGTAGCCAGTATTTTTGTATTAGAATGAAGAGTTAATTTTGAAGTCCAAAATGGTTTTAAGATAACTTAGCGCTCTCTGTAAGGCCATTCTCAGGAGTCAAGTGCATGTCATTCAAGATGGGGATATTTATAAAGGACTTCAGTTTGAAGAACTGGAATAGCCAGCTGATGTCTTACCATCTTGATGAGAAAGTCTGCGCTGTTTCCTCTAAGTACACACTAAAGTCACAAAAACACCCTATAAATTTTTTCTCTGGATTTCTCCTTAGATTAGGGTTAAATTGCAGGTCACATTCACATAGAGCTTAGCTGTTCAGTTTTTATGCATGCAAAGCTCAACAAAGTAGTAGAATTTAGGTAGCTAGTAGTATAGACAATAATGGGTAGATCTTAAGAGTAGCATTGTGAGGCTTTTTTACTTGTTTCCCAAGCTCTCCTCAGAACCAGCCACAGAGCATGGAGTTACTGGGAGGAACACTTGGCCCTGTATAGTGTAAAACTGTACAGCATAGCCTCAAATTCAGTTCAAAGATGCAGTTTTGTTAGAAAAAGGTGAGGAGAAAAAAATTGGACAAAAACTTAAATCTGTTCCTGTCAGGGTACAACTATGGCAGTTGTGCTGTGGCACACAATCCATGCTTTTCTGGCCTTCAAAGAGAAGGCGAGAGTGGTTGTAGATACTAGTTCATCCTTCAGGCAGAAAAAACTGGTAGCTGGCCCAAAGCAATTCTCAAGTAGACTTAACATGCAAGATTTGTAAGTAGCCACTGCATGGTTTTTGGCCTTCACCCTGTGCTTACAGGAATTTCTGTAATTTTGCTTTTGATGTCAGCCAGGTGTCAGGGAATTCAGATTTTATTTATTTTTACACCTTGGCAGGACAAAATAATTCAACTGTGTTGTAGATTAGTTGATAACAAAGACAGGAATAACTTGTGAAACTTAGTTCTAGAACTGGGCTTGGAGAAAAATGCTCAGGTGTAGATGTGGTTTGGACCAGCATTTCACATTAAATTTTTGTCTTTTTGTGACTCTAGTTTTAGGTACTAACCTGTAAACATCGCAATATGTAGTCTTCTTGCTTAGGAAGCTTGCTGTATGCTTTAGCAGGACTTTACATGAGGAACAGTTAAACAAAAACTTGTATGAATAAGGCACTAGTAAATGTTTGCAGCAAACAACAATTACAGTCTATATTCTTTAAGAATAAAGCCGTTCTGTTTAGGAAATTGCCTTTAATATGACAGAGTTACCAATGCCAGTTAGAAGGGGGTTAGAGAAAGTGCATCTTTTGGATAATGCTTGTGAGGTCTGTGAGAAACCACTGAATGCAAATTCCTGTTAAGTTTGGAAATAGCCTGTGCTATACTCAGGAGAGCTAAAGCAAGAGGAAACTGGTCCAGATTCTGATCCCTGCTAATCCAGTGGGAAATCACTGTAATGGATTTGGTCCAGATTTATTTACATTGGTAGAAGGATCTGAAGCCAGAATTGAGGCTGCTGTGGCAAATATAGTTAAACAGTAACAGTGCTAATCCAAAACAAATAATTGGCTATAATCCCCGTAAACAGATTCAAAAAAGAATCTCATATTTTTAATTTCCTACTTGCTGAAGTCCAAGGATGCACTTTGTCTTTTGGCTAATGTAACAGACCAAAGCTTTCTGTACTGTTGGAGCTGCTGCCATTCTAAACACTAATTAAAATGTCAATCCATACTTTATACCAAATGAAACTTGAGTCTGCCAGTCTGTTTGTAGGATGGCTGACCACGATTTTGCATTAAAAGTTGTTCGAACCCCCCCAAACTCTTCCATTCATATGCTACTTTTAAAATGTACTTTTATGTATCATCTCATTTGGGGGTGGGGGGTGTCATCGAAGCACCAGAATTTGTCTACCATGCCAATAAGAATGCATTTGTAAACTAATGGATCTGGTCAATATTCATGATTATATTTCCCTAGGATCTGTTCAGTAAAACTACTACATCAGAATCGTTCATTTGGTATACTAAATGGAAGGTCAGTGGTAACTCCACAGTCTGATTTCATCACTAATCCTGCTTTGTAAACAGACAGCTTAGCTTTATCATCCGACAAATTTCTGTTCCACTCAGATCCTCCATTATTTGTACCAGATGTCATTTAAAAAACTTAACACATTTCTAGTATCCATAATGCAAGAGGGGGAAAAATGACATTGATTCATTCTTGTATGTGATTGCCATCAGGTGCTACAATTAACAACTCCAGACAGTGGGGTTTTTTTGTTTCCTTGGGTTTTTTTTGTGTCTTATGTAAGAACTTGGTATTAAGTTTATCTCAAGCTTCAAGATCATCCATCCATGGGGACCTCAGAAGCTTTAGAAAGATCTCAAAAATGTGGTGGGTGTTTTGTTTGTTTGTTTTGGTTTTTTTTTTATCTTTGACTCATAAGACTAAATTCATTGGTGGTATAACTTGGCTGAAACTTTCACCAGAAATTAATCTGGACTAGTATTTACTTCTTGAACAAAACAAAAAAACCCCAACAAGTCAATTAAGTGGTGGGGACCTCTCTCCCATACTTGCTCTACATATTCTAATTACATACAGAAGGAAGAAAATACAGAAATTTCTCTTCATAAAGATCTTTCTTTCATAGCAACTCAGGAAACTTTTTTTCTTTTTAAATATTTATTTCTTATATGACTGTTAGAATATATGCTTTTCTTTGTGTGTGGGGATGCTAATAAATGGGATGTGTTTATCTGAAGATTAGAAAATGTTATTGACCTTTACAGCTGTGCAGGATCTTTCCTGTAAAAGTTGACAACTTTAAAAAATTTTTGTTATGTCATTATTTCCAGTAAGATGATTTAAATCTTGGCAATTGCCAAAGAAACAAACAGTCTTTGTCAAAAGTGTGCCTTTTGCAGTTGTAACTAGTTTTGTAGTGTGTCTCTAGCTGGCAAGCTGAAGTTGTGCAGGTGTTGTTACCTTATGAGAATTTCCTAAGCTGTGCTTACTTTAAAATAAATTTGAACTTCTTTTTAACCTTGTAAAGGAAATGTGTTTTGAAAATCAAGGTGGGTTTTTAACTTGTTCTTAAGATTAAAATAGTACATTGGGACACAATTGGTTGGTTTTCCTTCCCTTTTTGCCCACTGATTTCCAAGTGTGCCTTCAGGAGCGTACAGCAAGGTGAGGAAAGTCTGCATTTTGGAAAAAGTTCTGTGTTTAAGAAAATGCAGAATACACTTTGCTTTCATGGCCATATTTCTTCTACAGACGTAGAGGGAGAGTAGTGAAACATTTTTATTACAAAACTAAGCAATTACAGGAGAAAAAAAAATATGTTGTCAAACATTTATATGTATTTTTTTAAAGAGCAGATTTGCACTTTTAGAGAACAGTTGCTTCTTGGTGCAACTGCTGTGTTTGCAGAGGCACACTATAAACACCAACTGAAACTGTGGCCTAAATGAAGGCATCACATTTCTGTTTGTGCTGATATATTCACCTATATGGGTGACATTTTAAGAAAAAAATGCCATTTCACAATTTTTTTTTTTAAATTAAAAGTTGTGAAGGAAAAAAATTCCAGGTGTAAAGTCGAACAAAATAACCATATGATCATGTAACAGTAATTATGGCATGATTTTGCATAACCCTCGACCTTCATAAAAAGCAGTATTTGATTTGTATATGTGCATTGGTTTGATAATGAGTCATCATGCAGCTGCTGACTCGCACTTGATAAGTACTTAACTTGGGGGAAGCCATTTTTCTTGAGATTAGAAAAAAAAAAAAGGCAGTCCTAGGTCTTTGCTATTAATCCAGAGATTTTCATTGTTAGATGAAACATAGTTATTTCCAGTTATATTATGTTGAAAGGAATCCACATTACTTTGATAAAAATTTCATTTATCTGAGAGGCTTTAGGGATTGTGATGACTTTGATGAGGCCAACCCCAATCCCTCAAAACCTCCTCCTACTTCTAGGGGATGAATGAATTACCAGTCATGTAACTCTACAATGTATTTTAAGGCTAGTCAGAAGACAGAGAAGTATGATACTCAAACTAAATGCTCAAAACTAGGACTGGATATTTATTTAAATGTAATGATTTATGTGGTTGAAAGTTTGCTTATTTCTTTATGTTTTCTAATACAGTAAACCTACCATCTACTTGTATATCAATAACTGATCTTAGAATGCCATTTCATAGCTTGAATCTTGGTTTTGCCTCAAGGTTTATTCTAGCCAAGATGGCAATTAGGGGAAGTCCTAAAACTGAAACAGAAAAATTGACACATGCTGTTAAATTCAAATGCGGAACATTAATATGGAAGCAGAAATGACATTCAGTGTCAGAAGTAACAAATTTGAGTCTTAAATAATTCAATACAGAGAATATAGTTTAGACAGTTTTTATATAAGTGTGCTTTTTCCTAAAAACACCCCCCCCCAAAGCAAACTTTTTTTTTTTGCTTTTTCTTGAAGTCTTTTGTCTGTAAATACGAAAGAGGGCTACACCCCAATGTAATTCTTCATTGCCATACTAAACAGTAAACAGTCTTTCTAATTCACATTGCTCATGGCAGTCTTATTTGATGTTGCTTTATTAAGTTTGTGATTAAAGCAGTTTGGGATTTTTGTTGGTTGTAAACTTTTGGCATAATGTGAGTACCAGTCCCTTTCAAAAACAGCCTTGAGTTGCTTAATGATGCTTGTGCTGTTCCCCGCGTCTGCTTGGTTGATAACAAGGCCAGCTCCAGCATTCTGCGTAAAAGCATTTCCTACCCAATCAAAATTACCTACAAGTAAAGGCAGGAATATACAATGAGTTTCTAACATTAAAAGGAAAAAAAAAAGATCTCCCTAAGGGCAATCCAGCATGACACAGTATCACTTTCCGCAGTGCCTACCTGGGCAGAGATGGAAATAAGATTTCTATACTAGCAGCAAAGAAAAATCTCCATTACGTACCAGCATGTAGTGCAGACTTTTTCTGGAAGTTTCGCAGCTCTAATCCTTCAGAAGTGAAAACACGTTCTTTTATGTGCTCAAACCTAACTTGCTCTTCCTTGTGCGTATATTGTGTTACTCACAGAATGGTATTATTATTACTCCATTTACTCTCCTCATCCGCCTTTTCAGTGCCAAGAATGAAAATATTTTTTTGCTGCATAAACAATTTAAAGTAGATGGGATGGAGAGTGGTTGCTCCATAATGCTGAGCCAAACCAATAGATCTTTTACAGGTTGCCCATTGATAAGATACTATTTCAGGGAAGAAAACAGGTTTCACTGTTTTATGCCAGTTATTACTGCCTTTGTTAAAATCTAAGGTAATGAATGAACAGGTCAAATCCTGGTGATCATAAAGCACAGAGGATAACTGGATTAATGGAAAACAGGTAAACCAAATGTTTTATTTCTTTCTTTTTATTTCACTAGGACTATAACCATTTAAGTAGTACATTTATAACACATGCAGTATTTTGGAGAAAAAATGCTCTTGCTAGAGGTAATCTTTTAAAACAATAGCTGAACATACATAAAACGTGAAGGTATCTGAGAAGTTTATATCCTTTCAGTATCATTGCAGCTGCTTCAGC